CGACCTCGTCCAAGTGTGCGCGTACCTGCGCAAGGGTGCTCGGCAGAGTATGCCTTACGTCTCTGCCGGTGGGGACACTTTTTCCGTCGCGGCCGCGGGCGAGCGCGCCAGCAGCGTCAAAGGTCGGGCGGGCTGCGCGCGAACCTAATTGCTTAACGCGCCGACTAACCGGCGGCCTAAGCAGCACCTAAGCTGACCAGACTGCGCGAAGTGGTGCGGCCTGCAGCTGCCAGGAACCAGGTCCAGGAGCGAGCGACCGGTGGGGACACTTTTTCTGTCGCGGCCGCAAACGGAAGCGCAGGAGGCATCCGAAAGGTCGGGCGGGCTACGCGCGAGCCTAATTATGCAGCGACCGAGCGCGGGATCAGAACCTACCGCCGGGTGGGCAGCTGGCTAAAGCTGAGCTGGGGCACCAGGGGTGGGGACTGCAAGCGGCCAGGGCTGCATGCTGCATACGTGCGAGACCCAGATGGAGCACAGGGTGAATTGAACCTGCACGCCAAGAGACGTCGTGGTCTGGGCTGTAGGATACCGATCATGCGTCAGACCAGCGAGGCTGCACCGCCTGACGGTCACAAACCCAGGCCCGCCAACACGCAGACAAGAGAACAAAGTCGGATGGGTGCAAGCACTCTCGGACCCGGTGTGGGTACCATGGGAGCAGATCACCAGGTACGCAGCAGGACCTTGTCGCCACCAGGCGCCCTGGGTCAGGGCCACAGACGTGGCGAACTGGTGATCGGCGATCGGGCCCCGACAGCGAATCCGCACGCTCCTGGGCTGGGTGAGGATATCAGACCCCTATCGGCGATCAGTGGGCGATTGGGGGTCGATGCATTCCCCGATGAGCCTGTCTCCCCCCAACGTTGCCCCTGATCCGTCTGACTGAGCATCTTTTCACCCACCCCTATCCCCATGGGCGTGGCCTGGGCCCCACTGGCCGATTCACCCCCTAGCTGGGGATATAGGCTGTTTCCTTCGGTTCCGAGGGGATATCCCCAACTGGGGTGGTCGGATGGTGTGGGTCTGGATGGGGATGGGGGAGGGGGACAGGGGTCGGTTAACCGATGCTGGCAGGCCCCGTCCTCACTCCTTCCACTCCCCGCTCTGTGGGGGTCGCCGCCAACGGGAGGCCCGGCAGGCCCAACCGCCGACGACCAGGAGAGGACCTCCCTGCGGCCCAACACATACAAAAGCTGCGCGTACCCGCGTGCGCGCACGGGCATTACCCTCTCGACGCCGGAACTGCTCGCCAAAGCTCGGACGGGGGACCCAAAGGCTCCCGGGGCCTCCGCTGGGCCCCGGATCCGGCCCAAAGATGTACATTTTGTCCCAAGAGCGCCGGCCACAACATCCCCTACGGTCAAGAACTCTTGGTGGGCTCGTTTTCCACCACCACCACCAGAAGTAGGAGGGGGAGGGGGTCCTCCTCCTCCTCCTCCTCCTCCTCCTCCTCCTCCACCTCCACCTCCTCCTCATCCTCCTCCTCCTCCTCCTCCTGCTCCACATCCGTCCCCCCTCCAGCTTATGGTGGTGGCGCGGCGCCCTCGGCGACACGCTGTGCCGTGGTGACAGCGTGTCGCTCCGCATCGCGGGGGCAGGAGGCCGGAAAACAAGCTCGGGACGTTGACGCTTGGGGGCCTGGGGCGCGGCCCTGTCGCGCCGAGGCAGCTGCCGGGCCAGAAAACCGGCGGCGCGACGCGCGGATCAAAAGATCCCGACCGCGTGTGACTTCCATCCGTCGAGCCCTCGGCCAACCCTCACGTGCTCTCGCCCCCCCACCTCCCCACGGGCGTCGGCCCCGCACGCTCCCAGGAAGAGCCCGGCCCAAACCCCGTCGCGCCGCGACCACAAAGCAGCGGTGGGCGTTCCTGGGCCGCTCGCGGCCCCCCGGGGGCCCTCGCGGGCCCCCGCGCCGTCAAGACACGGCTTGGGGATGTGAAGCCGCCCCCAGCAGGAGCAGGAGATCCAGACCTGTGGGGGCCCACGCCGCGGGAAACACAAGACGTCGGGGGTCTGTGGGCAGCTCCCTCACAGGGCCCCCGACAGGGGAGAGAAGCCCAAATCCCAACAGGACGGATCTGGACACCCGAAATGGGTACCGAAAGAATGGGTACAATGCCCAACAACAAGTGTTGTCCCAAACCAACAGCGGCCGCTGTTTGGCGGGCGGCCTCCTGTCTCGAATGGACACAGGCCGCGGCGGCGCGGACAGCGAGTCCTGTTCAAAACGAACAGGAACTGCTGTTGGGCATCGTACCCATCCTTTCCGTACCCATTTCGGGCGTCCAGAACGGATCAAATCCGAACAAACCGGTTCAGACCCCGACGGGTCTGAACACCGGAACGGTTCAGATCCCAACGGAGCTGATTTACGCTTCCAAGCGCTTTAAGCGCTTCATAGGCGCCTCCCAGCAGGCGCCCAAGAAGCGCTTCCAGTCGAGCAAGAATCCTGCAGATTCCTCTTAGGCTTCCTTCTAGGATTACTGCACATTCCTTTATTGGAAAACCAGACTCAGGACAATTCCTCGGGGTTCCTGAAACATTTTTCAAGGATTTCGGAGGATTCTTGAAGACTCCTGAGAAATCCCTAACATTCCAGCAAGATTCCTGAAGATCCCCGAAGGATTCCGGAGGATTCCAAAAGGATCCCTGAACAATTTCCAAACGGATTCCTGACACATTCATGCCAGATGCATTTTGGATCCGTTTCGGGTGCCGTTTCGATACGTCCTGCATACGTTTGGTATACCTGCTGGATGCGACTGGAATCCGTCATGTATAATGTAAAATGTGTTTGAATGTGCTGTCTACGGCTTGTATATGTTTCGTGGTTGATTCGTGCGCGTGCCGCATACTCGTCTATCAACATATTGCATGTAATGTTTCTGGGCGGCTTGATTGCGTGCCATACGCGTTTCGACACGTTTCGTATACGTGCCGCATGCCTTTCGTATACTCGGTTATGCGTGTTGTATCTGCTTCGGATACGACTTGTATACTTGTCGCGTACGTTGTGAATACGTGTTGTATAGATTGAGTATACGCGTTGCATACGTGTTGCATACGTGTTGTAGGCGCTTCGTTTGCGGTTTGTATAGGTTGGTGCGCACTTAAAACGCGTATGCTATTATTTGCGCCGTGTGTCTTCTATACGGCTTCCACACGTTCCATATACGTTGCGCATGCGTTTCATGTATCATCCGTCTACGCTTCACGTAAATTCAAAACATGTAACCTCTACGCGTCAGTGTTGTCATACGCGATTCAAGTGCGACCCCCTGCGCACCATCCAATGTTCAAATACGTTTCAGATTCCCCCAATACCCAAATCACAAGCGTTTCCTAAACCGTCCATCTGCGTCCCATGTACGTCACATACAAGTTGCCCAGACGGCAGTTCTATGTATATATAGATGTGTTTTTCTATATCATACACTCACCATATACGTTACACATGCACACCGTAGACATTTCAGATACGTTTCAAATGCGACCCACATGCGTTGCACTTGTGCTTCGTATACGACTCATGTACGTGCGTAGACGCTTCATATACTATACGCTTCGAATGCGTATCTCTACGTGACATATACATTTCCAAATACCGCCACAAGGTTGTTCTCATATGCGCTCCCATATTCACGTGCAGGAAATGTACACACGTGTCGTATACGTTTCGTATACGTGTCATGTACGCATTGTCCGGCTCCTTCATGTCTCACATGCGTTTCAGGCAATATCCATATCGATTTCCGAAACGCTTCGCATACGTTGTGAACATCCGCTTCGCATTCGTAGCGTATGCGTCATTCAACCGCCAGCGTTTCAAGACGTATCATACGCGTGTCCAACATGTTTCATGTGGGTTGCATGAACGCTGCATTCATGTTTCACACACGCTTCGTGGACGCACCACATCAAGTTTATTCACGTGCCCCACACGTTTCACATACGTTTCATGTATGTTTAGAAGCACGTCGCGTATGTGTTGTACAAATTCTCTATACGTTTCATACGCGGTTCGTGCATGTACGTTTTATCTACGCTGGGTGCAATCTTGGAGGTCCTGGGACCTATGTGGGGCCGTCCTGGAGTGCTTCAAATTCCCATGTCATAGTGCAATGGAATGGTCGACATCTCAACGGCGCACTGTGAAATCCGAGAGAGTTCCCTTAAAGGGGTACCATCGGTTTTTCACTGCCAAGACGATCATGCAAGAACAACTTTAAACAACATGTGTTTCGTCCTGGTGGAGTGTGAGCCGCCCCCGTCTTAAACCCGTGGGGATCTGAGCCCTTTCCGTTGGGATCTGGCCCCGTTGCTCCAAGCCCGAGGGGGATTTGAAGGGAGGCCCCTCGAGGGTTCCAGGAGCTAGGGGCTGGAAGCATGCCAGAACTATTCACAACGCAGCTTCGCAAACTCACATAGGACAATAGACGAGTCTCAACGGAGAGGGTACTAGTACATATGAGGACGTCACGCAAGTGCACACGAAGGTCTGGTACTGATGGCCACCCTCGCACTCGTGATATCACATAGGGTGGTCAGTCAGATGCACCCAAGCCGCTCGTACACACGAGCCGGACGAATCACACGCAGCCAAGCCTCCTCTGGCACACAACAGGTTATCCACACGCGCCTTCTGTCTTGGGCCAGCGGACTGCGCTGAGCAAAGAATCTGAAAAGACCTTACTTAGCGAATAGCCTGGCATAACTGTGGACGTGCTGAACTATAGGGCGAAGAGTGTGACAGCTGGCCCAACCTGCAATTGCTGAGCGCAACGCAGTTGTCCAATCAAAACTTCTGGCGGGACCTCCCAACTGGACAAAACGTCTCAAATGCAGCCAGCCTTACGCAACCGATACTCTTTCGGCAATGCAAATCTCCCATAATCACTGAGAATGCTGGAACCGACTGGGGAGCCAAGGTTGAAAACCTCCACCTTGAGTTATGCCGAACGACTGTCAACTTCACGCGATTTTAACTCGCCCACGGCCTCCCAGACAGATGTCAGCACCTTCTCGCCTTCATCTTTAGGTATCTCATGTTTTTTGTTTCTTTTCTCCTTTCTCTTCTTCCGTCGCTCTTGTTCTGCTATCCGTCGCTCTTTTTCTGCTTGTTCTGCAGCAGACCTGGGGGCGCCAGAACTCTGGTGGGGCTGACTCTTTGATGCAAAGCCGAATGGATGGGCAGTGTTATGCGGGTGCACCACTCGAGGAAAGGTGCGGCACACACACATATACAGAGATATATATATATATATATATATATATATATATATATGGATGTATATGTATATATGCGACCTGTTATCTTGCCCTCTGCCCGTAGATGGATCCACCGAGCCTGCTCGATGACATCGCTAAAGCCAACCTGACTGTACGTCGATGCTGCGAAGGCAGGGAGGCTGGGCTTGCGGCATGGAGGCTGACTGCTACTGTTTTTCGACTTCCCCCTCGCCATCACACCACAGCTGCTGTTGTTGTATTGCACGTCCAAGAACTATGCAACGTGCATGTGGGGACAAGGCCAGTAATTATTCGAACAGCCCAAGATCGCCAGAGCCGCGTCTCTTCTGACATCATGCGAGTCATAGCAGGCAGCAGGACCTGAAGCGCTGCCTGGGGGTCACGACGCCGAGGGGGAAGAGAGCTTCAAGTCTTTCGCCGCCAGGAGCGCTGTTTCCCCCCCCCCCTGAGAGACGACGAAAAGCGGATGTCCTCCCCTGTATGATTCCGGGGCTGTCATCACTCTTGCCGCCGCCGGGGCCAGGCCGGCCAGGAGGGCCCACAGGCTGGGGTCCTGGGACCCCGTGGGGGTACCCCCGAGATGCCGGGCACATGCTCCCAAGGCCCAGGTACAGTCGGGCTGCTGAAAGACGGAACGCTAAATAAGGAACGGAGCCCCTTCTTGGCCCTGTAAGCGCCTCCGTGCCCCATGAGGGCAAGAGGAACAGCACTCGAGGAACCTAAGGAACATCGAGCCCCTTCCGAAGCCAAAATGTTCCTTATTTTAGCGTCTTGACTGTACGGCCCAGCGAGATCGAATGGGGGCAGCAGGCGGCACAGAACAAAAGCTGGCCGCGCTTGTGAGAGGCGGCCTGGGCATGACGCCCGTCTTCATCCACTTCTTGAATCTTTCGCCCACCAGCTTGGCGGCCCGCTGGGTGTAGTCCCGCTCTTCGTCTGGCCCGATCTCGCACCACTGCCGAAAGACCTCGGGTCCCGAGGTGAAGCCGTTGTCGCGGAGCCACAGAGTGTAGGGCGACATCGGCTGCTTCGGAATTATTGCACGCTTTATCCACGTGCTGTCGTGTTTGCGTGGTAGCCGCCTGAACACCCCTGCATCACAAGCAGCTTGATTACTGCCGTCCTCCCCCTTCTTCGCCTCCTCGCCACCTTCGCGACCTCCGCGCCTCCCAGCATCGGCCGACATCGACCTCAGGCCCACGAGGCCCCTCGTTGGAAACGATAAGATTAAGTCGGGCCTGTCCCCCTACAGGCGGTTTTTGGGCGAAAAATATACCAAGAAAATACTCCAAAATTGTCAAAAGTAGAAAAAAAGAATCGTCCCCATATTATTTTTGGAAAATTGTTGGATACTCCTCCTGTAGAGGGACAGGCCCGAATTAACGATAAGATGCCGATGCCGCCACTCTCTTGGGCGTCTCCAGGGGGTGCGCTGTGAGCAGGATCCCGAGGCGAGCCCAGCCGCGGGGACGACACCCGCAGCCCCTGTGGAGGCCCCAAACGTGGCGACAACGACCGGAGCAGGGCGAGCGGAGACAGCGGCAACTCGAAATCAAATCAACCCCTGGGGCCCCTTCCAGGGTCCAAACAGGGAGGGGGGGCCCAGGGGGGGAGTCCTTTTCCTTCTCCTCCTCCTCCTCCTCCTTATCGCCGCCTCCTCCTCCTCCTCCTTCTCCTCCTGGTCGTCGTCGATGTCTTTCAGGGTCCGCGGCACCGGCCGTCAGGCCTTCACAATCAAATCAACCCCTGGGGCGCCTCCCAGGGTCCCAACGCCTCAATTTCCCGAGCTGCGTCCAGCCGTGGCGACGAGACCATCCCGAAAGTCGGGCTGCAGCTGTCTCAACTGGCCTCCCTCTGAAACGAGGGAGGGGCATCGGTCGAGGGGCATCGGTCCAGGAGCCCAGGAAGGGGAGGGGCATCGGTCGAGGGAGGGGTATCGGTCGAGGGAGGGGCATCGGTCGAGGGAGGGGCATCGGTCCAGGGAGGGGCAGCTGGCCTCTGAAACGAGCAAGGGGCGTCGGTCGATGGAGAGGCATCGCTGCTGGCATGCTTCTCCCCCGTTTGGCCTCGCCCTCTGCCGCCCTGGCGGCACGGCCAGGGCCCGGAGGCACGCGGCCGCGACGGTGCCGAGCAGCACCCGTGCAGGAAGAGCCAAGGCCCACGCACGGGGGAACAAACATCGCCACGGGCAGAAGCTGTCGGAGGTCCCCACGGATCTCTCGGCTCGGCGCTGGGCGTTTCTCCTTCTCTCCTTCTCCTCCCCCCCTCCTCCTCCTCCTCCTCCTCCTCCTCCTCCTCCTCGTCCTCCTCCTTCTCCTCCTCGTCCTCCTCCTCCTCCTCCTCCTCGGGGGATAGGCATACGGGGGGGACGCATCGACCCCCAAGCGCCCCTTGATCGCCGATGAGGGTCCGACAGCCCCAACCTGCCCAAGAAGGTGCGGATCTTCTATCGGGGGCCTATCGCCGCTCGGGGACGGATCGCCGATTCCAGGTCGATGTTTCCTCCCCTAGCCCTATCTCCCCCATATCGTCCCCCTTTACAGTCGGGGCGCTGAAAAAGGAACTCTTATCGTTGCAGCGTTGCCAACTTGCGGCAATCACACACCCGCACCCGTGTTGGCGGTCTGTTGTAGACGAGCGCGTTCCACGACTCGCAAAGCAACCACTCGCAAGTGGCCTGGATCCGCCGCGGGGGACCTACGATAAATTACGTCGGAGCAGGCATGTGTTTTTCGGATGCTTGCGCGTAGGCACTTTGCGAGTAAGTGGAACGCGTTCGGTGAAGTTGCGTGACCCCTCGGGTGGGAGGGTGATCCCTCGGTGAAGTTGCGTGATCCCTCGGTGAAGGAGGAGGAGGAGGAGGAGGAGGAGGAGGAGGAGAAGGAGGAGGAGGAGGAGGAGGAGGAGGAGGAGATCGGTGAAGTTGCGTGATCCCTCGGTGAAGTTGCGTGATCCCTCGGGGTGAGCCCTCGGGAGCCCACCGGGGCTGGTCCGACCCCGTGCGGGCCCCGTGGCCCGACGGGGCCGTGCGACACCGCCGCCACGCCACGACCGCCGCGACACAGCACGGAACCCCTCGTGACGCGAGGGCGCCGCGCCGCGAGCACTCAGAGCGACTGCGCGGACCCGCAGCGGACGCGGCCCGCCCTCGGGGGCGCCGCACCCTTTTCGGTTGGTCCGCGTGGCGGCTCCAGGCGTCGACGAGGCCCGCGGCGCGGAACCGATGGCCCACTTTCTCGGGGGCGCGCAGACATGGATTAGCGATCCACGGGTTTGGCGCGCGGTCGCCGAATCCATGGATCGGGGGAGGGGGCCTGACCCAAAATGCGGCCGGTGCCGCGTCGCTCGGCGGCGGAAATCCGCGATTTCCCATGGAAGCGGGGCCCGTCGCTAATCCACAACCCCTCCGACAACAAGGAGAAGGAGGCGGAGGAGGAGGAGAAGGGGGATGAGGAGGAGGTGGAGGGGGGAGGAGGAGGAGGAGGAGGAGGAGGAGGAGGAGGAGGAGGAGGAGGAGGAGGAGGAGGAGGAGGAGGAGGAGGAGGAGGAGGAGGAGGAGGAGGAGGAGGGAGGAGGAGGAGGAGAAGGAGGAGGAGGAGGAGGAGGATATTCGTAGCCATTTTGGCTCAAGTAGTCCATATCCTCAAGGTGGTTGAATCAACCCGCTGCGCCCTCGGGCTGCTCTCAGGTAGGCGGCACAGCCTCGGGAATAGACCCCTCCAGATTCCATAACGCAGCGAGCGCTGCCACATTCATATTCAGTATACTGAGGTGGACCGTTTCAGACGGCACCAGAAGATAACGGCAGCCATTCCTCGCTTACTCACGCCATGGGGCCGCCTTGGCGTAAAGCAGGACCGAGGGCACGGTGCCAGACCTCCTCGGCGTTCGGCATCACGGGGCGGAGGCAAAGGCGCAGACGCTGGGCCCAAAGTGGGTGTGCGCCTTCTGTGGCTGCAAGAAAAGCCTGGCCTCGCTCGAGCATTGCAAGCACTGCCAGGAGTGGAAAGCCGAAGCCCCAACGGACCCTGATGCACACGCGCTCCCGGCACTTCCTGGCCCTGGCGGTCGCAACGTTCGGCGGCAGTCCCGTGGGGCAGGACGTCAGCGGACCGAACTCCGGCCGGAAGCAGCACCAGCAGGACAGTTGCCAGTTCCTGGGAGCGCGGGGCCCTCAGAGGAGGAGCTCGAGAACGTCATTGCGCTGGCTACCAAGCTTGGGGACAAAGACAAGGCCCGCAGGTATGAGGCCCAGCTGGCCCAGCTCCGCAAGGGCCCCAACCTCACCATCCAGGAGCGAGCCCAGAACTACCACGCCCGCATCAAGCAGCTGGAGGAGGCGCTGGGCGTGGAGGTCGGGAAGCTCGACACGTACCAGAGCTGGGTCCGCACTCTGACAGAATGCGTCAAGAAACTCGAGCTGGCTCTTGCAGTAGCAGACGGAGAGTACGCTCTCATTGTTTCCGAGCTTGCAGAGAAGATTGGCAAGGTTGCTGAAGGTGACAAAAAGCTACAAGTGTCAGAGGTTCCTCTCTCCGACGTCGTGGCGGGGAAATCGGACATCACCAGCCTCATCGACATCGACGGTTCTTCAAGGTCGGCGACGAGTCCGAGCTCGCCCCCGACGACGTCAAAGCGCTTGAGGAACGCAACGACCAGTTGCGGCTACAGATGCAGACAGCCACCAGGGACATGTTCCGTGACGCCATGATCAAGGTCGAGAAGGCCAATGCGGAGCACGCGGCACATGTACAACGACTCGCTCGCAAACGTGGGCGCACTGAACCTCCTGCAGACGGGGCAGCCGCCGAAGGAGCTAGCAGCGCCGACGCTAAGGTTGCCCCTGAACGCCAGCCTGCAGGTGAAGCTGGGAAAGGAACTTGGGCAGCCGCAGCAGCCAAAGGCGGCATGCCAGCAGCCAGCAGCGAGAAGACCAAGGGCAGCACCGACAGCGAGGACACCCGTTCCAGGACCGCCCGAGCCCTTAGTGGAGAAACTCAGGGCCAGGCGCAGCCCTGAGGCCCCCGCGTGGAACCAGAGCGGCGGCGGTCCCCTCGCGACCGATCGCAGCCACCACAGGGGGGAGGAGCGAAGTAATACCATAGACGTGGATGAGGAAGATCACCCATTTCTCTCCGACTACTTCTGGGACTCGACGCCCCCGCCACCACCGTCGACAAGGACCGATTGGCGTCGGACTCCGAAGGCTACGGCAGCATCAAGTTCGGCGGCCTCTTGTGGATCGGCGGGCTTGCCATCGGCGATTGCCTTGTCGACAAGTGCCGCACTCTCCGCCCCAGAGAAGGTGGAGACTCCGCTCCAGACGCATCCCTCGGAAGACCCAAGTCCTAGGCTTGGGGCCCCCCGAGCGGCAACCTGGGTCGGGGAATCGCTGGAGGGGCGGTGCAGCGCACCACGTGCTGACCGTGTACATCGCAGTGGCACGGCCTCGTCGGCTTCGGCACCTCCAGGCGCTGAGTCTGGTTTGGGACAGGGCCCAGACCAGACAACTAAGACGATTACCCACTCTGTCTGCAGTGCCAGCCGTGCCGGTCGGCCTACAGTTTCTTTTTCGCAGGCACCTGTGGTCGCGATTGAAGACTCGCCTGCCCCCCGATCGCACAGCCAAAACTGCCCCCTGGGCCAGCGGCCCAGGAGGGCAAACGCAAAGCGATCCAGATCGAGACATGCAACTGCTCCTCTCTCGCATCATTCAAGCGATATCTGGGGGGAGAGACCAGTGCCTCGATCATCTGCCTCCAAGAGTTCGCCATGCAGGAGGCCGAGAGGGCCGAGGTGGAGGCCACGATGCGCAAGCAAGGCTGGGAGTGCAGCCTCAGCCCCTCCGTGGTCACCGACCTAGGAGGACCGTCCTGTGGGGTTGGAATAGCAGTCAGAAGTCACATCGGGCTTGGGCGCCCCCCCCCCTCTGAGCAGACCCCTTCCAGCCCCCCACAGGTGCCAGTTGCCTTGGGTTAACGCGTTCGCCCCAGGGGGCTTCATCTTCGGGGGCTTGCACCTCCCCCAGGGGGGCCTCCTGGGAGAGGCTGGGGGGCATCTCCTCTCCAGGTCGGGGGAAGCCTTGCATGGCTGGGTCCCCCCTTCATCCTCGGGGGGGACTGGAATTGCGAACCCCAAACCCTCAGAGAAGCTGGATGGGTGAAGCGCCTTGGAGGACAGATCGCGGCGCCCTCTGTCTCCACATGTCGCTCGACGGCGCAGGGATGGAAGACGATTGATTTATTCGTATGCTCCGCTGCGCTGGCGCCTTCTTCCTCCAAAGTTGGTCGCAATGTGAATGCGACCACCAGCCCCCGCTGGCCAGTCAGTGCTACCCCGAGTGGGAACCCACGGATCGATCAGGCTTGGATCTTGCCGCGGCCGCGGGCCCCCCCTCTTTCGCCACCCCTCGGGCCCCCTCCTGCCCCGCCCGACTACTCTGAGCTGTGCGGGAGAGCGGGGGAAAGGGGGCACTGGACTGGATCTTGACAGGTGTTTCTGGGAGTTCCTCACCACAATGGGGCATGAGCCTGGGGGGGATCTACCAAGCTGACGGGTCTGAGTAGTTCGGTCGTAACCAGCAGAGGCGGCTCAAGCAGGTCCCAGCCTTGAGAACGCCAGGTAGTGCGTATCCTCTTGGATGTCCTCGATCTCGGGCGCGGCGCAAGGTCGCTATTTGGCTCCACGAGCTGGTGCACCTTCGGAACCACGAGTCGGCCTGGGAAGAGCTTGAGCCGCGAAGACTGGTTGGCAAGCTTTTGAAAGGACCTCCCAGCCTCAGGAGAGACCCGCACTGGATAGGGTGGAGGCCTGCATTTCCTGATGTTGTTTTCGCTTGCTCAACCGCTGAATTAGTGGAGTGCAAGGAAGAAGCTCGCCGTTTCGCCGCCAGTCTTGAGCAGACGTTTGAAGCCGACCGAGGGGCCCGCTGGAGGGACTGGGTCAAGGAAGCGGTGGAAAACGGCGGAGGTAAAGCCCACGCGTACTCGAAAGCGCCCATCGGGTGGACTCCAGCGGCTGTGCAACCTGGGAGGCCGCCCCCAGGGCCAGGGGCCCTACTGGAGCAGATGCAAGAAGTTTGGGAAGAGGTCTGGAGTCCCCCATCTGATGCCAGTAGCTTGCCTGGCCCGTTTGCTTACCTCGACCACCAGGTTGCTGGACTTGGCCGGGACGACCACGCTACTGGGCTGCTGCCGCGCGCGCTGAGCGCGGACGACGTCAAGTCTGCTGCGCGAAAGTTTAAGCAACGTACCGCCCTCGGCTCTGACGGGATCCACCCGAGGGATCTCAGTAGGGTTTCGGACGGGGCCCTCGAGGCCCTGTGTGTCCTTTGGGCGTGGTGCGAATCCATCGGACACGTCCCGATCCAGCTTGCATTGGCGCTCACCGCCCTCCTCCCCAAGCCCAAGGGGGGGTTCAGGCCCATCGGGCTGCTTCCTGGGGTCTGCTGAGTCCTGAACAAAACTACGCGTCAGGATGCTGTCGGTTGGGAGGAAAGACAGGGGCGGTCGTACCACTATGGGTCCACGGGCCGTAGTTGCGAGCGAGCTGTCTGGGAGCAAGCGCAAGCCACCGAGTTTGGTAACCTCGTTGGGATCGGGACTGGCGCTGTCTTGGTGGACCTCACCAAGGCCTACGACAAAGTCTTGCACTTTCTGTTGGCCCAGGCGGCTGAAAAGCACTGATTCCCTCTCATCCGCCTTCGGCTTTTGCCTCGGGTGCACCAGGCGCCTAAGCTCCTCCTCATGAGCCAGGTCACCTCGGGCGTGATCTATGCGGGCCAGGGGATCATCGCTGGGTGTGGATACGCGACCTCCCTCATGAAACTCATCCTCCTGGTGCCAGACGATACGATGATCCTCCATTGGCCGAGTATCCGTGTCTTTAACGTGGTGGACGACATCACTCTGTTCGGCATGGGGGCCCTGGCTGACCTGGGCAGTCGGGTCGGCAGGGCTGCGCCCTTCCTCCTTCAGGAACTCCAGAACATGTTTTTGGTGATCTCCAAGGACACGGGGGTGGTGATGTCGACGGATATGGAGGTTGGGAAACAGACTTCGTCTTGCACCCAGGACTGGAAACTTAAACAAAAGCGTGCCACGAAAAACCTTGGTGTGAAATGTTCGGTCCGACGGCGCAGGCGGAGCACTGCGGTCCAGAGAGGCCGAGTGGCTGCCTTGAGGCCGAGGACCAGGAGGTTTCGCGGGCTCAGGCCACTGGACCTGCTGGAGCGGTGCTGTGCACGTTGCGCCGACTCGGTTGGCGCACCTTGGGGTGCAGGTCCTGGGTCACTCGAAGAGGAGTCTCAGTGGATCCTGGCACCCTGGGCAAGAGGACGATGAAAGCTCTGATAGAACAAGATACCCAGCGAGGGCTTGTCGGCAGCATCGGACACAAAGTGCCTGGGCTTACTTCGGGACCCCTCCTTGGGCCGGTTGTTGACAAGTTGAAGTCCTTGCGCAGGCAAGGAACGGGAAAGGAAGCCGCCTTTATTTCAGAAGTCGTGGCTGGAGGCTACGCGATGCAAGAAGCCTTGTTCGCGGGGAGGCGAATCGTTTCCCCACTCTGCCGTTGGTGCGGAGCGCTCGCGGGCACACCCAAGCACCGTTTTTTCGGCTGTGATGGAAACATTGGCCTCCGTTCCAGCATCGACCTCGACGGCTATCTCGCCAAAGGGAGGAAGGCTGGAGACGAAGACTCTGGATTCACCAGGGGCCTGTTCGCTAGCCCCGAAGTGCTTTGGCCCACCCCCATTGGCCGATGCTGGCTTTAAGTGGAGTGCCTTCCCCCCGTCGGGTTTCCTCGACACTGGCAAGATCTGTTTGGATGGTTCGGCATTGGACCCAGACAGTGAAGTGTTCGTGAGGGCTGGCTGGGGGGCCGTCGCGGTCGATGTAGGTGGTAATATCGTTGGCTCCCTCTTCGGCCCCTTCCCCCACCCCCGTCAGTCCTCAGGAGGGGGGGAGGTTTATGCCTTCCTCATGGCCTTGCGGCAGGTCGGAGCCTGCCCCACTGAGTTCTGCACAGATTGCCAGATGGTCTGTGACATCTGGGAGAAAGGCCCAGATCAGGACCTCACCAATGTCAGCTACAACGAGTTGTGGTGCGATATTTTCGCTAGGGCTGTGGATGAAGGGATGCACAACATTACCCTCTCTAAAGTCAAGAGCCATCTGTCTCGTAGGGCCGCCTTGGACCGTGGTTTTCGGTTTTGGGTTTGGGCTGGCAATCGAGAGGCTGATCGCCTGGCTAAGTTAGGGGCCGCCGTGCATCCCCACAACCCCCGAGCTAAGCAATTGTACGCGCATCAAGCCGAGCTTGTCTCCAACAGCGTATGCGTGATCCGCGAGACCATGAAAGCCCTCTCCCGTCTCAACTTCCCAGATGTCGAGAAGGTTCGGGCCAAGGTAAGACAGCGCCCAGGAGGTCTCGAGCTGGTGCCCGATGCGCTCGGCCACCAGCTGATCCGCTAGAAGCTTCCAGGGGGCAGGTTCAAACACCAGTGTGTTGGATGCGGGGAGCTCGGCAATCGGATAGGAGTTTGTAAGGTTCCGTGCTCTGGGCTGCCCAAGGTGGCCCGCCTCGCCCACCCCTCCCACAAGCTGCTCACATGAGGGGGGCCATGTGGCGTGGTGCTCGAGGTGCGGGGCGTTTGGGAACCGCAGGCCCCAGTATCTCTCTGCTAAGTGCTTCGACCATCCACGAACTAAGGATGCAGCTCGGAGCCTGAAAATGCTCCGAGAAGGTGTCAACCCGTCTACCAAAGGGTTTTTCGGGCGTCGTGTTGATTTCAGGCGGCTGGGATAGAGTCTTGTTGGCCGTACGTGCTGCTGGGAGGCCAGCTGCACTGCTCAGGACCAGCCGCCTGCCCCACCCTCATTGGCTGATTGTTCGCGTCTAGGCGTCGAGGATCCCGTCATCTATGGAGAATCTGGAGAATCGCCATCTATGGAGAATCTGGAGAATCAGGAGGAGGAGGAGGAGGAGGAGGAGGAGCCTTGCTCCATGTTTGCGATCGCTGGATTCTCGGGATCCTCTGCGCAGCGCGGCCCTCCGAAAGCTGCTGCCCGTGCCGGCTTTTGCTCCTCGCGTGCAGCGGCGCGTCCGCGCCTGGCCACCGAGCGTCTGCCGGCCATGGCCGCGCGGGCGGGCGGCGCACTGCGGGCGCCGGTGCGCCCCGTTCCAGGCCCCCGAGCCATGGCTTCGAGGCGCAGCGCGGCGCGGCCTTCCTCCCGGGTCCCGCTAAGACTTGAGCAAGGACCGACCGTCCCGGCATTCCTATAGTCCTGCCACGGAATGTTCTTGGAACCCAAAGATGCTCTAAGAACAAAGACAATGTCCTTAGAACATCAAACCGATGTGTTAAAACATTACGTTCCCAGCTAGAAATGTTCTAAGAGCACTTCGTGGGAACCACAAAAGGTTCTTAGAACATCATTTGGTAGGGCAATAGGCGAGCCAGGACGCTTCGGCACTGCTTGAGAGACGAGGCCAGGACGGGGAGAACATCGGGGGAGGACAAACCGAGAACCTCTGAGATCCCGCGGCGCTGGAGGATGTCTCGGGCGCGACGGCATTCGCACAGCGTTCCGGCACGGGTTTGTCCCCGTCCTGGCCCCGTCGGTGGTCCCGCCTCGGACCGCTTCTCCTGCTCCGCCCCTCCGTCTGCCCAGCAAGCCACCCCGGCCCAACCCGAAATCACCGTCGGGGCTGCCAGCTTCCAGCGGGAGGAGATTCCGGAGCATCGAGGAAGCACCTCGGAAGCCGCACGCCCCCCAACCCGAATTTCGGGGAGGGGGTCCAGGACGTTCGGGTTGGGTTGGTTAGGCAAGCAGTGGCCCTGCTCCCCTGCTCTCAATCTGCTCTCCTTGGAATGATTCAGCCCGCGCGTCGCCGACGCGAACTTTTGGACGCTCTTCCCTGGGTTGCGGCACCCCAAGAGATCCGGAGAACCAGCGTGAGAACTAGAAGGGACTATGTCACAGCCGGCCTTGGGCAGAAAATCGGGCCACCAAACTGTTGACGTCCACACTGATGACACACAGACGAAGCCCGGGGCGCGCTCATAGAAAGGAAGGAAGGAAGGCAGCGGGAAAGGCGGGAGGAGGCCACGTGTTCTCAGGAGCTGGTGGCGTGTGCGGCCGTCACCGACCCGTCGCCCTCTAAGAAGCGGGGTGACCTCCCTCTCTCCCTTTCTCTCTCTTTCCCTCATGTTGGTTCTCTTGTGTCTTTGCTCTCTCTCTCTCTCTCTCTATTTGTTTCTCTCTCTCTCTCTCTTTCTCATTTTTCGCTGGCTCTCCAGAGCGAACGCCGCTACCGACTACCGTCAGGCAGCGAACAACTGATGGTCGGAGCGTTCAACGGGGCGCTAGATGAGCAACGTCGGCGGGCGAGGAGTAGCTCGCCCGCCTCCGAACGATGCGGAAAGCGGACTAAGCCTTCCTCCACTCGGGCGTAGCGAGGAAGAGCACTTTCCCTCTCTGGAACGTTTTGGCCTGGCGGGAATGTCGTGACGGGGGGGCCAAAACATACAAATCACAGAGTTTTGCTTGGGCCCACCAGGATTCCTGGAGCCTGGGCAACAATTTGCTCATCCATGGGGGACCTCCAAACATACCCCAGGAACTCCCAGCAGCAGCCGCCACAAACCTCGACAAGGCTCACGGATTCGCCAGATGCTCCAGACCCGCCGGGATTTTCCACGAAGCCGCAGGTAACCCCCAAGGAACCACAGAAAGGCCCAAGGGCGCTCCCAGCAGGCTCCAACAAACCCCAAGGAACCTCAGGAAATTCTAGGAAATCACTGGCAACCCCAAGGAGCCCCAGGAAGACCAATGAACCCTTAGGGAGCCGCAGGAGGCTTCGGACAACTCCACGAAGTCGAAAGTGATCTGGTTGGCAACACCATATATAATGCACCTTCAGCGTGCAATAGTGCCCCATGGCTTATCTATAGACAACCCTTGGTATGCCCACCGGCCGTCATGCTACGAGGATCACAGTATCTTTCTCGCTCATCTGGCAACTCCAACAGATGTGGCCAAGAAGGGTACACCCAACGGGCCCCTTAAGACCCTTCTGGATACGGACTTGAAGACAAACTCGGCATTAATGGTACGTACTGCCTTGGTTGTAAAAAAATCTTTTCTTCGAATCGGAGTAGGTGGTCCTGCCTTGAGTTCGCGCAACTTGACGATGTCTGAATAGCGGTATTCCAGGTTGCGGGCTGCTGCTAGGGCCTCAGTTGGATAACTGGGTTGCACTTGTAGACGACGCGACTTACGATCCGCATGCACGTGGAAAACAACTGCTCCGTTAGGCGCGCGCCCACGCAGTAGCATTACGGGAGCTCTGATGCTATGCCCCTCGGCCCCGCCCTTGGCCTCGCCGTCGAGGCGGCGATCGACAGAGTCGCTATGTAGGTCCACTTCTCCTGTCGGAGCTATTGCTTGGTCTGTGGCTTTCCCAAGACCTGGCTGTCGCGCTCGCGTTGCGGCGTTGAGTCGTCGCGCTTGGGCGTTGGCTGGTCCTTGAAGGCGCGCGCAAACGCGCCGCGTAAGCTGGCGGCCATGTTTGACAGACGTGTCGTCGCCTTTTCCCTCCACTTCTGCTCCAGCCAAATGCGAATATTGCGCGGGGCGGAGTTGTTGAATCTATTCACCCTGGTCAAGCTGAGCGCGGTCGCCCTCGGTCTCGGCGCATCGCGCGGCGAAATCTGCGTCGCTCTGCTTGTTGAGCTTACGCGCGCCGATCGTACCTTCTGCACATATCACGCATGTGTCAATGGTACCCTTGACTCCAAACATACTTTTGTCGTCTACGTGTATGCGTACTTGGCTGTCAGGAGGTCTGGGCTCGTTTCGGGCTCCTCGTCGTCTGAAATAGGATTCATACCAACGCCTCGAGCGATGGGCATGCATTTCAACGAGAACGCCCTGGGGGCGTCATGAGTGCCCGTTCCGAGCGCTATGGGATGTAGACAGTGTCTGGACTCGTCGTGCGACGCAAAGCCCGGCGGCGCTCATAGCACCGAGGCTGAGCCAAGTAGTCGCGCGAAGCATGCCGTGCGTTCTGTTTTGCCAGCGGCTGCGGCTAATTCAGGCCCTTCAAGAAAGCGTGATTCCACTGGACGCACTGACCGATGAAATTCCGAGCGCGGCAGCGCTTTCGAGCAGTCTCTGGCTGGCCCGCCTAGCTGTTCCTGACAAGTCTCCACATCAAAAGCCTGAGCGCCCACGAATCAGCGAACAAGCCTGGTAGTGGGTTCCAAGTCGCGTTTCTGTTTCTCCACGGATTTCCATTTGTTCGCGTGCCCCCTTGCCCTGATGTTCGGCGAATTCCAGATTTCCTCCATCGTAAAGCACCTGCGCGCTGGGCTATGGACACCTTGACAGGGTCTGCCTGAACACCAGCCTTCCGGAGGATGTGGCCTCCCATGGCGGCGATGGCCCTTTGATACCGCGGGCGCGCGCACTCGCATCGCAGCTGCATGGTCATCCTTGAATGATATGAACCGATGCTCCGTCAGTGCGGCCTTGAACATGTCAGCTCTGAGGCGAGCTCCCCGTGCTCAACATATTCGACAATAGTGATGCAAAGTCTCGTCGTGACCAGCTGTGTTTGCGCGGGCGAGATACGTCTCCTCGATGTCGCACTGCCGGTAGCCCGGCCTCTGCAAATTGCCCTCTCCTCACTGGCCACAGTTGCCAGCGCGCAGCGGTCGGTCATAATTTAAGCTGGTAGCAGCATATGGGGACGGCAACGAAGTGTCCTGCATGAGCTCAGACCCCCCTTGTCTTTATGCGTGCCATGTCCCGCAGCCCGATGGTGGTGCGTCCGCCAGGTCCTCGAACGGGGACAGGTCTTCGTCAGAACCAGTAGAGGCTTTGAGGACTCGCGGCTGTGTATGATGCGTGCGTGGGTGGGCCCACTGACGTCGCATGCGATTAGGGACCCATGTGCCTTCGGCTTCGTAGCACTGGAACCCTTGCGCGACATCGCTGTCTCAGTATACAACCGCGCAGCTCTCGGCGCAAAGCGCAACGGGTAACCCGTGGACGTTTCTAGCTTGAAATACGGTTACCACATCTTTGATCCGGAATCAGTTCCTGATGGGAGATTGCAAGGCTAACTGCACCTTCGGCGAGAGTCTGCTTGCCGTGGTCACCCGCAGGTGTTCCTGCTCGGTGGGCAACTGAACGCCATGGCAAGTTGCCCCATAGAAGGCTCGCGATGACAGCCGTGCGCGTGGCCGTCGCGTCGGTTCCGATCTCGCAGATCATGGCTGCTTCTGCGAGCAATGTTGCATGAGCCTGGGTGCTGCACCGAGACCTCTCGGCCGCCGACCCCGCCTACTGCCTGATCTCAATCTGGGCTGTCGCGCGTGACTGGGCATCGTCCGCCCCAGGCGCCACAGTCGCCCTGCGCCGTGAAAGGTCGGTGGTCGCCCGCGAGATCACCTGGTTTACAAACAGCTTCCCAGCTGGCGTCGCTCTGGCGCGCAAAACTTAATTTGCCTTGGCAACTGCAGCAGCCTGCGTGGCGGCCTCGATACTTACCTCCCTGACCTTCTCTTCGCTGCCATGGTCGGACGTTTCCGCCCCTTTTTCGTCTTCTATCACTGGTGGATGCGGGAGGCAGGCTGTCAACAGCGCATGGCTTGATATGGAGATGCGCCTTCGTAGAGTGTGAGGCTGTTGCATGCAAATGCGCCTTCGTGCAGTAGTCGAGGCGACACAAGTGGAATGCTCAGGTTCTGGAGCTCCTCATCTACGACGCGCAGTGCATGTGGAAGGATGTCGTTGCGTGCTTCGATGGGGGCGGCGCGTTGTATTCGGGCGCGGATGCGAAGCTCCGCGTCTTTGGCTCGCTAGGCCTGCCTTGTCGGAAATGTGGTTCAAGGCGCCTTCGCCGTCGGAATATAATATCTTAGCTGGGTCATGCCGTGTCCAACATTGGTGATGGGCGCCTAAGGTAATCTTGATAGCCTTGTCGTGTACCTGTTGACCAGCAGCCTATCCAATACATCGGTCACTGCTGTGGACACCCATGAGCTGCTCATGAAACGTCGAACTCTCATTCGACCTCCTCGTTGAGGCTACATGGAAGACTGACAGATGGCACCGCCGCATTTGTT